TGCATGACGAAGAACAATCAGTTGACTTCCCATGAGATGTAGCATGGGGGTGCAAAGAAGAAGATTTCTCAACTGACATTGTAACAGGTCAAAGGATAACTGAACAAAAATATTCGCAAAACGTAGTATCTGAGTAGGTGCAATTCTTTAATCAAAATTCAATTTTAAAAAAAATATTTTAAGACAACCATTTATTTTAGGCCGTTTTGTCCGTTGATTATATTATAGCTGAAATAGCTGAAACGTGTTGGTTAATCATTCCCACCCCACCCCGAGAAATAAAACGAAAGCAAATCGACCGACGTAAGAGCAAACAACATCTTTTTTAAAAAAAACATACCCCAAAAGTGACACTGGATGAGATTTCTATGAATCTGGCTTCTTAATTGTAATTTTAACCTGCGAGCAATCAGTTACATGTAAGTTTAGTTAGCCTAGGCGCGCACAGGACAACTTTAGCTGCGCAACTGTTTTCTCCCCCAAATGTAAACATTCAAATAGATTAGCAGCGCGCACTGGTAGAGTTTTGGAGACTGAAAAGTTCGTTTTTTGTCACAACTTTTCGGCAACGCAACTGTTGCTCAAATTGATTGTGTTACTTACAAAACAGACATACAGCACGCACAGGCAACCAAACTGTCTCCGGACCTCAGTGTTACTGATAGTCTTTCCTCTGTTGAAATGCTGCTCCTCCAGTTATTGGTATTTAGATACGTAATTGAGGGTCCCACGAGACGTAAAAGTCTATGAAAACTGTCCGAGCTCATGCGATAATAGTTGGGGGGGGGGGGGTTATCTTGGGAGGGTATGCTCTCAAATCTTCTTGCAGTTTGACAAAATGCCCTTTTTAAAAACCTCTGACTGGTCAAAGAGTGAACCCAAAATCGCTTTTTCCTTTTCTTCTTTCTAAGTGCATTCACAAATCGTGGAAGTCCATGGCGTCAAATGAGGAAGTCAGTAATGATGATAGCCTACAGTAACTGTTGCCTGGCTGTCGCTAAGCTCTTTGCGCGCGGTGTTTAAAATAAGTTGCCTGGAGACAGCAACTGTTGCGGAACTAAAATTGCCCTGTGCACGGCAATCCTTACCAACTCCCACAAGCCATATGCTCGCCCAAAAACGCGTTTCTTCTACTTCATTTAACCCCCCCCCCCCCCCCCGAAAAAAAAATTTAAAAAAGAAAAAGCTTATCGTTTAATACTTTTCTTTTTATCCTCCTTTTAGCCGGCTATTTATATTCCTAACGGTTTTGAGAATGTCTGCTTTCCTTTTTTTTTTTATTCTGTACAAATTGTTTGCTTTATCATTCTTATTTTTCTGAGTTACGTTGGGCGCTTAACTCTTCTTTTGTCTTCATAAATTATGTTTCCCAATTTCGTCCTTGATAAGGAGACCATTGTCTTGTAATGCTGTATACCCACGTCATGTTCATAAAACGCTTTCCGACTCTTTCGTTTGTACTGGAATCACCTGTAGTAACATAATTCGATACGAACATTATGGTCGGCCATGCCATCCGGGTGGATCAGGTTTTCATACTTGTCTTGATTACTACTGTCCTCTGTGTCAAAGTACATATACTGCTGTGATACTGTCATCCCTAAAACCCTTTGACATGTTCCTTTGTAACGGTACAAGTAGAAAGGATTCTCCGTGGGTAGAGAGATCGCGACTCCTGGGGCTGAGTCCGATCTGCAGCAGTAGTATATCTGATAATCACTACCACTTATAACAATCTCTGGAACATTTCCACTTGTTTGGGTAGCTCTATCGCTGTCTTCGTCATCGAAACGGATGTACCCGGAAGAAAAACCATTGGGACATGACCCAGAGTCGCGTTTGTTTATACAGTAGGTACCTCGGGGCCAATCTGAAAAGATTCCGACATTTTCCTTTACACAGAAATGTTGGTTCATGAATAAGTCTGAGTTGGAGCTTTCAAAGATGGGCTGGGCAAAGTTATTCGGAGTCGACACACTATTGAGATTGGTGCTATTTGACGACTCTGTGTGCATTTTTAATTGACCAGTTCGCCAAGAGTCAATGCCATTGTTCGGGCAACCTGTATTTGGAGAAAGAAGTCCGTAAAGCCCATTTGGCCACGTCCTACTTCGCTGAGAGGCCTCCATTCGGTAGACCCGATTTTCCAAGTCATCGATGGCACTCTCGAGTTGATTTACTGTGTTGGTACAGTTGTCTCTCTGCTCAGTGATCTCATGCTGGAGTTCGGCCTGCTCTCTCAGCAGGAGATGCAAAACTTGCGTTGCGTTGACTGTGTCTTCTACCATGAGTTGGATAGGAGTATCTCGAATGACGGCAATAGAGTCAGAGTCGAAACCCATAACTTCGCATTTATACCTGCCTAACGTATTCATCTCTGCTGTAGGCCAGGATATTTCCAGAAAACTGTTCCATTCTGATCCGACATGACCCCTGACCTTCAGACCGGTGTTGGAAGTTGGGGCGTCGGGAGATGTGTCTCGAACTTCTGCAACCAACTCCCAGTGACTCCCAGCGTCATTTTTTAGGATCCGGATCCTGGAGATTTGGGAAAAGTCATAGTATCCAGAAGTATATTTGCAGGTCAAGGCTGGATCAGTCGTGACGTCCAATACGACGTGCGGGTGCGAGGTCACCAGGTACCATCGTGCGTCACTTCCGCCAATCACAGCCAGGAGGAGAACTAGCGCTATCTGCAATGACAACAAAACACAAAGTTAGGATTCAATCAAATTTTCTGCTATTTATGCACAAGTTCCAACAACAATAAGATAGTTTGTAGATCACATACACGCACACACGCACACACGTACACATGCACACACGCACACACACACAGCACGTGCACGTACACACAGATGCACACAGGCACACATGACAATGTATATGGTAGTGTTAATTGGGACAGAGTGACGCTGTTACAACTAACGCGGCGTTAATTGCGACAGAGTGAACACGGAGCTCTTTTACGTTGATGATTAGAATTAGAATCTAACATCATCTAGATCTACCATTTCCGCTTCGCTTCCCAGCGTATTGGTCCAAGGCTTTCTGGAGCAGGCATTCAAATCTTAGGACGAATTTGACAAAGCTTTTGTTAAATTTAAAGATGAAAATTTTGTCGCCTTTAGGAACAAATCATCTGAAACGGGAGAAAAGCCGAACTTAAAGTGTGTGGCAAAAATCCACAAAGACTTTCTGTATAGTAGAGTACGTTGACTTTATCTGCACACATTATAGACAGCCCAAATATTGAGGCAACATATTACAATAAAACATCAGCAGCATACAAGGGCAACAAAAATCACTAGGGGCCAGAGGCAACCTCAGCAACAAGAACAACACGAAAAGAGCTGCAACTGTCTCTGTTTTTGTTAGTTTTGTGTGTGTGTGTGTGTGTGTGTGTGTGTGTGTGTGTGTGTGTGTGTGTGTGTATGTGTGTATGCGTGCGTGCATGCGCGTATAAGGCCACAAGCATGTGCGGTGTACGTTTGTGTGTGTGTGTGTGTGTGTGTGTGTGTGTGTGTGTGTGTACGTGTGTATGTGTATTTGTATGTGTGTGTGTGTGTGTGTGTTAGAGAGAGAGAGAGAGAGAGAGAGAGAG